CCCAAAAAAAAACCGGGAAAAAAAAAACCAAAAAAAGGAAAAAAAAAAAAAAAAAAATAGAAATATGTTTTTAGATCTAAATTACTAGTTTGGAAACTATTTGACATAAACTGTTATAATAAAAAAATTCACATATCTTGTTTGAAAGGATATGTTGAAACTAGAGTATTCATTTTACTCTGACAATTTTTTTATTTTTTTTGGAAAATTTTATTAGAATTTGTTTTTTCTGTAATTTCCATGTTATGGATTTTCTGTTCACGTGATTTTTATGGTGTAGATCAAACTAAAATATGAAATACTTGGCATTAAAGGGATCAAAAACTATTGCTTTAAATGGCATATGTAAAAAATAAGTTGTTTTATTTAAAAGTCATGTAATATTTGAGAGTTTAGTTAGCTGAGCTCGGGTAAAAAGGCTCAGAGAACACTGGCATAGACCTTTAACGCCTCCTTTGCTTCCTGCATCTATAATCTAATAGATCCACCGTAAAATAACCATTATTTCAGAAAAAACCTGCTTACTGTGAATATTAGAAATCCATTTAATAAAGCAAAAGATTAACTTTACCAACTCATCGTAACGCCTTTCCAAACCAGTTACTTTTTTTTTTTTATTTGCAAATCCCAAATTACTTGGTTGTTTGCAGATTTACCATTTAACAAAAATTTTTCTTTTTCTCTTATTCTGATTCTAAATCTTTACCACAAGTCTGAACATATAATACCTGAAATGTAAACATGTAGGTACATGAGTAATTTCCTATCTTTAAAACAGACTGACTTCTTTTTCTTTCAAACAGACTAAAGACGTTTGCTATTTTCCCCTCCAACTACAGGAACCAGAGAACTGGTGAGCAATTCTTCATTTACAGCCATCTGTGTACAACCTGATCCAAAAGGTTACATCCTAGCTCTCCTCACTGGTTGGATTTCTTTTATTTAATCTTTAAACACAATAGCATTTACCTTGAAAAGCACAAAAAAAAAAAACTTCAACTAAAAAAGACGACAAAACACTTCAAATTTCAATTTTGCTTTTTTTATTACTTTTATTCTTTACATATCCCACAAAGACTGGAGATTACCAATGCCAAAATATCCCTTAAGAAAGTGCCATTAGAAGTTATTTCTTGCCGGGGCAGCAGATACAAATCCAACTCGTATTAGTGTCAGATCAGAAATTGATTTTATGGCACAATACAGGTTTTTTTTTCCCCAGGAGAAAAAAAAAATAAAAATCACAAGACATCTTACAAATGTTCTTATTCCAACCAACATCATTTTCAATGTTTAGTGTACACAGCATTGTTTTAATATATTTCTAGGTACCATACTATGACAAGTTGTGAATACACTTCGATGACTAAAGCACAAGGCAAACGAAACAAAACCAATCCCGAGGTGATGGGGAGTCCAGCAGCCTCAGTGTACAGTCTAAATGCATTCACGTTGTAGTAAAAAAATGACATTGCTTTTGTAGTAATCAATGCACATTAAGTTAGCAATAGCCGTTAGTGAGGAAACATTTTAGTGTTGAAGTCTAAAGAAGCAGTTACATGTTTTACAGTCTGAAGCCGTCTCGGTGGTTTCCAGGCAGCCAACGTTCACCTCCAAGAAAGAAAAAAAAACTAAAGGTACCTCTCTTATGGTTGGTCCACATGGGAGGGCGAGCTTACGACGGTGTAGCTTTTACAGCAAAACATGTAGAAAAAGCAGAGGACCGCCACGTGTCGACGGTCAGATGGGACGGCCACCGAGATGGGATCAAGCGTGACAAAGATCGGTGTAATGCTGACCTTACGTTACATTCAAAAAAAACAAAAAGCCCAACGCCACATCATTTACTTTAAGACCACATTCAGGAACAATATAGCAAAAAAAAATAATTAATGGACGGTAAAAGGAGAAAAAAAAAAGGGGGGGGGGGCAATTAAGAGGAAGTCTTTCACAACTGATCAGCTAACTTTAAGAGAAAGGCAGAAAAGTATGAAGAAAAGCCATTTAGAAGAGTCTAACTTCATTTTACACCTTCATTTATTTATGCACATTTGCCCTTAAACCTCTCAATAAACTATAACTGTAGTGTAACAATCATAAAAGGTTAAAGGAAGGGAAAAAAGTGTCAGGAGAGGTTAAGTCAGGAGACTAGGGAGGAAGTAACACTGTTTGCCACCTAATCCTGGTGAGTGGGAGTGAGCTGCTAAATTGACCAATGGGCGGAGAGGTGGCTTAGAATCCAGATTTCCTCAGGTATATATGCTCTCTTGTTAAGACGTCCACCATGGACTCTCCTTCCCCATGACTAAAAACAATACTGGCAAAAAAAAAAAAAAAAAAACAGGGGGTGGGAACAAAATAACAGAAATCAACAAAACAGAAGAGCCTCCCCTTCATGCAGGATGAAGGAATGAGAACAAAGGTGACACGGGATCTCGTCTCTCTTCACTGCTATTAAATGTTTCCAAAACATTTGACTGCTTGCAGGAGAAATCTTAACAGCAATATTTTTTTTTTTCCTTTCCTTTGTCCCTCAATTTTTTATCTACGTGAGCTTGAAAGCATTAAAAACCCGAATCCCTCAAGTATTTTGCCATCGAGTAAGCCTTCTTATTCAAGCCGCCTCCATGGACCCCTTCTTTGCCCATTACAAGAACCAAAACTGAAAGAGAAAAGATGGGAAAAGGGAAGCAGTTAAGTGAAAAAGAAGGGTAAAGAAATATAAATATACCACTTTGAAATGCATGTCCATTTTTTTAAATTACAGAAATCATTCTTCAGTTTCTGTAAAGATGCACACTCATTTTTCTAGGCTGCAGAAGGAAAATAAAGCTACAGGACGTTATAGTAAAGCCTTGTGGCAAGAAATGAGTCCATACGTTAAAATGACAAAGCAATGAAATAGAAAGCCTCAGACACAAGGCTGCAGTATCTTGGTGAGAAACATTAAATTAATGCTAATTTAACAATTTATGCTCATGAGTCACAGAAAACAGGAAAAAATGTCAGAAAGTTAAAGGCAATTTCAGGTTCTCTCCATCAGCTAGAAGGACACTTACGTTTTTTTTGTTCTTTATGGTTTTAAATTTAAAAGAGCTTCTAATAGTTACGCTTTGGTGTGGATAATTTCTGTCATCTACTCAGCCTGAGAGCTGTGATGACTAAACAATGTTTGCAACCATTTTATCTGTAAAAAGAAGCTTCTCAGAGGATGGAGGTCATAAAAATCCATTCTGATTTTATTCTTTTAACATTTTGATGCAAATATCTATATATATATATATATCTATATATATATATATATAGATATATATATATATATATATAAAATTAAATATAAAACACTAAATCAGTCTGCCATTTAAAAGCGATTATTTTTCCAATTTATTGGATATAACAGCAGTTAAGGAGAGTTCTGGATGGAGCAGATACTAAAAACAAATGTATACAAATTTTACCCTTTGTTGCTGCAATTACTGATCTGGGTTAGTCCTTACAGCTAATGGCATGCTTTAGAATCTAAACTTCAGTTAACGATTAATCAATTACTAAATTAGTTGAGGACCATTTAAATAATCAGTTAATCAAAACTAACTAATCGTTTTAGCTCTAATTTGGATGCGATTTGACTGAATTGTTATAAACATGTAATGCCTAAATCTCAAACACTGGAGGAGAGCATGTTATTCCACAAGCTTACGATAAAAGTACTTATGTTGAAACATGTATAATCTGCCGTTGAAGCAATCGTATGCTTCCGGTTTTTACCTTTAATCTATAAGTATGCAGCTTTCTTTGTAAAGCATAGTGTAGTTCTACATTCTGCCTGTGGTACATGTTATATACCACAGGCAGAAGGTAAGGTCAGAAGGTAAAGGTCATGGCTATAACTTAAAAAACATATTTTTTTCCCCAAATAAATAGGTCTAGAGAGATTAGATTTTTTTTTTAAATACATGTTTAAGGGTCCAAAATATACAAGAATTTAATTCTGATTACGATGCCAAAGTTTGCATAGAAGATTCGGCATCAATAATAGGAGATCAGGGGGTGCCAGATCTTAGTAGCGGCGGGATAGAGCTCAGTTATGAATCTTCTCGGTTACATTTCTCAGATTTAAATATTTTAAAAAAAAAGTGTTTGAAAAGAAACTTTTGACTTTTTTCTTCTTTTAAACATACTTTTTGGTCAGTGATGATATCTTAAGGGGCTGATTTGGAACAGGGAGATTACCTCTTTCCTCCTGAATGGAGAAGTTAAATGTAAAGGAGAACAGGTGAGTGTGAGAGCACCACCTACTGGCCGTGAGGAGTTAAACTTGAAGCCGTTCTTAGGTTTAATAAAATTTGGCTTGAATAATTAGAGTCCAACTTTCCCGTTAAGCAAACAACTGCTCAAAATACTGAGCAGAAATTACCAACACGCTTCTTAAGTCTACTTATTTCAGCAGAACTACTGTGTTTTTGAGCTAGCGCCAATTTGAAGCTATAATGATTGCTACAATTCAAAATAAAAGCTTGATTTTAAATTATGTTCCTCTTTGAATCCCCAATGCTACACTGGAAAAAATCTAAGTCTAGATAAGTAATTTTTTCTTAAAATAAGTGCATTTGTTCTTGGATTGAGGAGGTAAAAAAGACATTTTGCCAATGGAACAAGACAATTTACATTTAAAATAAAACACAATTGCATTGTCTTATTTCAAGTGTATGTTATCTAATTATTTTCTTCAAGAGTAAAAATACTTATTTCGTTGGCAAATTATCTAATTTAACTACTCAAATTAAGAGTACATATACAGTTATTTTAAGGAATTTTAACTTTTTCTACATTGTTTTTCCAGTGTAGACATTTTGCAGAATCAGGCTTAAGGACTGCCAATAAGTGGGTATGTAATAGGGCTGAACGATCTAGCCAAAAATGAGAACTGCAATTATTTTCAACCAATAATGCAATTTTATTTCGATTTTCCTTTGCGCTACCCACAATAATGCAGCATTTTAGTTTTTTCATGACCCTGAAAACTTGCTTTTTCATAGTCAAGTTGTTTGAAGGACTGCAACCTTTTTTTGGGGGAAAAATGTTCTTCTACTTGCATGCATGGATTCACTTGCTAGCTGGCCATTTCTTGTTGTGGCAGCTAACCCACATTAAATATATTACCACAACCTAAAAGACTGGAGTGAGAAAACAATTGGTTTCCTACTCTTGTTAAATGTGACGTGACGAAAATTAGGCAACTCTGTGATTTGAAAACTGCATATAGTTAAACTGAAATTGTATTGCATATCTAAATAATTGCTCAGCCATGGTATTATTGATATATTGTGGATTTCCCTCCCCAAGTATTAACTTAAAAACCACACAATTTCCAGACCCCAGTCTGCACAGACACATTTAACCTGTCGATACCTTTTCCAGCTCTTCCTACAGAAATATTATACGTAGGTTCTCCTCCCTGGCTCTTCGTCCGGATGTCCATTGTCCAGTCGGCGTCGTCGTTGAGGCTGTCTCTGAGGACCGAACACTTCTTTGAGCCCAGAGTGAGACCGTTGGTGTAAAAAGACTCTCTGTCCTTACCGACGAGAACATCAATTTCCTGCGGCTGAAGGAGCAGAAATATTTGGATTTAGGCAACAGATTCAAAATGTTCCCTTTTCTCTGAAGGAACAAAAACAAAAGGAATAAAAAGAATATTTGAATTTGTGCAATCAAAGAATGTCATCAAGCTTTGATTTTACCCTTTAACTACAAAGCTCATCAAAATGCATCCTATTGTTTTAATGCTTGCAGAAAACTCAAAAGCACTTCATCCAAGTCATGAACGGGGGAGGATGGCTGACAGGTGCAGCTCTAAAATCCAGGTTTTCATTTTGCACATTGATTTTTATTTATTTATTTAATTTTTAAGAGTAATGCATTTCATATTTCAATAACTGCAGCCCAGGCTAATTATTAATGCAGTTCTTTAGCTTAAATCATTTTTTTCCAGTTGAAAAGACTGATCAATTTCATCAATATTTCCATGGCAGAGCACCATTAATAAGCTATTAGTTAGCATAACGTGACAGACATGTCGCTATGCACCAACCCCCCCCCCCAATAACATTCCTTCCATTCAATAATTTATTTATTTTTTTATATGTTACAGTTAAAAATGCTAACAGGTTGTTGATTTAGCTGGATATAAAAGGTATGCACCATCTGCGCTGGTAGACTAGCCAGACATTAGCCTAGTTAGCCTTTCTGGACCACAGGTAGTCTGTAAAGTAGCAGCTTAACTTCAGCTAATCGAAGCACAAAAGCATGCACGCCGTCTGCTAGCTGCCTTTAAATTAGCTTTACGTCTCAGAAGTGGAGCTCCAAATAGTAGGAGAAACACCGCAGCACCCAATGATGCAATATCCCACCCTTGTCACGATGACAGCAGCCTTGTCACGGTCTAATCTGACAGCGAATCATTTAGGATGGTCTAATATCCAGCGCAGGCCACCTGCCGCTAGGCTAGTTAGCTCCCGGCTAGCTCCGTACCGTTAGTCGGTTCATTGGGAGCCTGCGAAGTAACGGTTACAGCGCTGCTGAGCGTCCGCGTGGGCAGAAACACCTCCGATACTGCCAACCGACATCCCAGCTTTTCACAATTTATTCCCTTTTTCTATAACTTACCGTGATATTGTTGAATGTACCGCCGGCATGTGCTGCCCAAACATATTTGGCGTCTGTATACCCAACAATGGCGCTATCCTGACAGCTGCCATCGGCCATCAGGTTTTCCACATAGCTTTGCCAAGACATTTTTAAGAAACTGGCGCTATTTATTTATTGGTATATATATATATATAAACTATAGCTTCGCGGGTGAGGTTACCAAAATAAAAAGAAAACGACAGAGCTGAGGAAGGTCGAAAAAGTCTCCAGGCGAATTTAGAGTCTCCAATCAAAGCCACACTTCGACGTTGACCAACGCGAAGGCTGGGGCTGCAAAGAAAGCCAGGGCAGTGAGGCGGCGGCTGGGTGTAGTCCGCATCAGATCCCTCCGCACAATGAGATCCCCTCCCTCCCTCCCTATAGGGCGGTTATATGGAATAAAGAGGGACTAATCAGCTCAGCCAAGAGTCAGAGCTGCGGGTCAGAGGCGGATGGACATGTGCTCGTTTCATTCATTTCTTTTTTTCCCATGGCATTATTCCTATGCTGTATGGAGTGAATAGTGCTCCATTAATATTGCAAGCATAAACCATGCTTTGTATGGTACAATGGAGCATTAGGGCCAGGCTAGAGATTTTTTTTCTTCTTTTTCGAGAATAAAGTCATACAATAACGAGAATAAAGTCGTAACATTACTAGAATGAAGTAATATTAAAGTCAAAAGGCGAATAGTCATAAAATTACGAGAATAAAGTCGTACAATTACGAGAATAAAGTTGTACAATTACAAGAATAAAGTCGTAAATTTACGAGAATAAAGTCGTAATATTACAAGAAAAAAGTCATAAGGAGACTAGTTATAAAATTAAGAGAATTAAGTCGTACAATTACAAGAATAAAGTTGTAAAATTACGAGAAAAAAATCACAACGAGAACAGTCATAAAATTACAAGAATAAAGTCATAAGGTTACAAGAAAGAAGTCTTTAAATTATGAGAATAAAGTTATTAAAGTAGTTAAATTAGTTAAAAAGTAAAAGTTAAAAGTAGTTAAATTATGAGGGTAAAGTGAATAAAGTCGTTAAACTATGAGAGTAAAGTCGTAAAATTATGAGAGTAAAGTCGTAAGATTACCAGAATAAAGTAATATTACAAGAAAAAAGTCAAAAGGAGAATAGTCATAAAATTACGAGAATAAAGTCCTAAAATTACAAGAATAAAGTCTCATAATTATGAGAATAAAGTTGTACAATTAAAAGAATTAAGTCGTAAACTTACGAGAATAAAGTCGTAATATTACAAGAAAAAAGTCATAAGGAGAATAGTCATAAAATTACGAGAATAAAGTCATAAGGTTACAAGAATGAAGTTGCTAAATTATGAGAATAAAGTTGTAAAATTATGAGAGTAAAGTCGTAAGATTACCAGAATAAAGTAATATTTCAAGAAAAAAGTCAAAAGGAGAATAGTCATAAAATTACGAAAATAAAGTCATAATATTAAGTGAATAAAGTCGTTAAATTATGAGAGTAAAGTCGTAAAATTACGAGAGTAAAGTCGTAAGATTACCAGAATAAAGTAATATTACAAGAAAAAAGTCAAAAGAAGAGTAGTCATAAAATTACGAGAATAAAGTCCTACAATTACGAGAATAAAGTCTCATAATTATGAGAATAAAGTTGTACAATTACAAGAATAAAGTCATAAACTTACGAGAATAAAGTCGTAATAGTCGGGACTCACGTTTGGGGTGGTTCTTCTCTCACTTCGAATCCAGTCAGTGTGGGTTGATCTAGTGAAGAGGGGACTCGTTGGAGAGCGGACAGGTAGACACTAGTTGGACTCGGAGGAGCTATTGAGCAGACTGTCACTCGGAAATCCAGGATAACTTGAACGGAACTTGTGGAGGTTAATCCCCTGCTCAGTGTGAGACTCAAACAATCCTTCCAGGGGAAGAAGGCCAAAAATCCAGCTTACAGGATGACTTCCCAAAACTGGCAAACACTCTGGCCCCGAAGCAGTGACAGTCCACTGCTTAAGTACTCCTCCAGATAATGATCCAACGAGGCGCAGGTGTGCAGGAAGGACCAACGAGGACAGGGTGCCACCTGGTGGTGGAGGGAGAGACAAACACAAAACAACAAACCACACAAACTGGATTCCTGACAAGTACGAAAGGGAAAATACCAACCTGAGTCAGGGGACAGATCCAAGGTCATTAACAGCAGTCCGAAACACAGAAACAGGCAGAAACAGACCGGAAAAGGGGCAAGCAAAAACTCAGGAATCCAGAGGCAGAAACAGCTCAGGAACAGGCATTTTAAAAGACAACAGGGTATGCTAGATAACTCTCACACTCAGCTTGAATAATCTGGCACTGATGGCTGGAAACAGGCAGCATAAAGAGGGGGTGGAGATTCACACTAGATGGGAAAAAAATTATTCCAGCCAACCTAAATTAACACTTGGCAAAGAACATGTTAAGAGTATTATCAGAAGAAAAACTGCTGCAACTTTTGCAAAATCAGCAATTTCCCATTTGTTTATATTCGTCTGCACATATGAATTTTCTGTGTTGGTTGTGTACGTTCTGATGGTTAAATATTTCAGGTTATTTCAAACTCTAAGGTGTAAGTTGTAGAGTTGGGTGTCATGGTTCTCCCCTTTTGGGACTCTGAGTTTTTAATTATTCTGTTTTTTTAATCTTTGGTTTGTTTTCCATTTTATTCTAGCAGTCTTTAGTTGCTCTCTGTTGCCCCCCTTGTGCTTGTTTCCTTTCCCCTTGGCTTCTTTCTAGTTAGTTCCACTTACACCTGCTCCATATTCAGCCCATTAGTCCATCCTTTGTTCTGTTCCCCATATATACTCCACCTCTGCAGTCTCTCAGAGCTGGTTCATTGTTGTTATTTTGTTGTTCCCCGTCTCTGGCTTCCCATGTGAGTTTTTCCTGATGCTTTCTGGAAATATGGTTCTTAGTTATTTTTTTGTTTTGGTTCTCTGCCTCTGTTTTTTTCATTAACAAAAAGGGAGGGGCGGAACTCATGAGGATTACATTATCAGACCTGCATGGAGGCAAGTGAAATCCCACTTTGTGCAGAATTTGGATGAGGGAATAGAATTCTAACAGTTAGAAGTTGCATAAGTGCTGCAGCCTTCTGTTCAAATGCACTGCACTGGATCCACCTAGAACCAGGGGCAGAGCTAGATGGGGGGCCTACAATTTTTTCCCCCTATAATACAGATGTTGGTAGCAGTAATACTCTCAAGTGGAATATTCTAACTTATTTAACATTTTAATTTTCTATATCTAAACAATTACCTTACAACAAAACCCTGTGGTTAATTATGCACATCGATATACTAACATTAAAGATAAATACAGAATTCATGCTCTTTTCAGAACTAGATTTTGTCTAATATGGGGTAAAGAGAAAATTAAGTCATCTAGGAATCTTCACTGAAATCAGAGATAAATAACTACTTTAATAAGAAGTAACCCATTTAATGTAGATATTAGTACATGTAAATATAAATTTTATGCTGAATGAATATTAATAAAACTAGGTTAGTAATGACAATGAATAAGATGTTCGTCCCAGAACTCAAAACTGAAAGAATTTTGTCCACTACACCTTTAATTTAGACAGCATGGATGCTTAAATATATGCATCTATTTGTTAGCAAAGGCTGTGGGAAAGTATAATTTGTCTTTATTTAGAAAATATGGATGTTGTGCTTGTTCATTTTCCTGTTGGAACAGTGTACATTGACCCTGAGGTTCTGGTGCCTATCCGCTTATGGCCA